TTTAACCTAACAAAGTTAAAAAATGAATAAGAAAAAATTCACTTCTTGAGGTTCACTATTCCAGATGATATTAGAGAATCTATAGGACCTAGGACTTAAAAACATTATTAGTACGTATAGAACACAATCATAGTAAAGGTTAAATGAAAGAACTAAGACATTTGAGGCCTGACAAATTTTGTCATATTCCTATGTAACAGAGAAATTACTGAGAATAAAATCTGTTACTGCCTTCTATTGCTACCAAAATGAAATTTTATTTTTTTCCATTAAGACATATTTAGGCAATCTTCTGTGTTTTGAGAATCCAGAAGCTCCCCAACCATGAGCTGAATCAGAGTCTCTGTGTTAGTAGCCATTGGAGGAGATGAAGTGCATCTTTATGAAAAGGGAGGGTATGAAAGAAATGAAGGCTTTTGTATTTGGACAGAGAGCAATGGGACCGAATCCACACTGATGACATGTTTATAATCCTAGCGAGAGGACAGAACCTGAGGTTTTAGTAGTTCCAACTGGAAATGAAGAATGGACAACCGGGACATGACCCCTGAGTACCTATGCACCACAGAGCTGAGGGGTGTAGAAGGTTCTGGGAGCCAAATTTGGTTTGAAAAGGATTGGAATCATTTGGCAGATGAATCTGCCTCCGAGAGCGGCACAGGGGTGACATGACAAGAATTTCAGTAGCAACCAAGGTGAACTGCGGAGCAGGGGCCGTTCCCTCATTATCCAGCTTTTACTCTATAATCTCACAGGGACAGAGTGGGCCACTCTCAAATGACTGACACGAATTTTTCAACCATATCGTAGTGAAAGTAAAGGCAGTTTTATTTTTTACTATAAAGCGTATCAATTCAGTTTGGTTATTACACCTGAGGGTTAGGGAGAAAATTTATATCGGTACTATGCCAGTACATATAATATGTATAAATTTTAACATAGTTGTATATGAATAAAAATTGTTCTTTCCACATGTTGGTTCTATCGCACTATTTTAGTTTCTCCTGCTGTTATCAAAATTAAGCATTCATTATTCATGTAGGAAACAGAGGAAAGTGAAAGGAAAATGAGAGAGAAAATACCAGAATAATTTGATCATACATATTTAAATAACCACAAAGAAATAGTTATTCTCAAATATGCCTTACATAAAGGAATAAATCTTATATTATCCATTCTTATCCCATTTTGTGCTAAGCATCAGAAATTTTCTGTTTCTCCCATTATTTTCTTAGGTTTACTGAACTCTAAAGAAAGGAAAAGAAGAAAACTAGTCATTGTTAGAAAATACTTCTCATTCTGACTTCAAAGTCTTCTGATTTTTTGCTTTTTATTTAAACTACCATTCATGATATCACATATAATCATAAAGAAATGCTGCATATGTGAAGATGTTTGTTTAAAGCTGTACCATACCAAGTTCAAAGAAGAAGCAAACCTGTGGCAGCTCCTAGATTGGTCTTGACGGTATAATCCATATAAAAAGCAGGCTGCTGACCCTGGAAGCCAAATGTGAGTGCCTTACGACTGTGCAGTCATTTTTCTGTTTATCACAATTACTACATTTTTTCAGAAACATCACACTACATACCTTTCTTTTCTCTTTCACTTCAAAGCCTTCAGCATTTCACAGCTGATATATGAATTGTGGTTAGATGTTAAGTAATTTCAATCATCTCTTTTTACATTACAATATATTTAAATCAATTAATAAAATATGATAATCTAGCTGTGAAATGCTGTTTTACCAATGAGTTGATGAAAGAAAGCAAATAATGAAACTCAAATTGGACCTTTCTTTATTTTAAAATTATGAGTTTTTACTTCTTCCTGTCTGACTTATTTTTCTGCAATGATTGTTTGTTTCAATTTATTGTTATGGAGTGTATCATTTGTCTAATTATACACTATTTATTCCTATACAAAAATGCAATATTTATTGTAACACTGATACACTAGTCAATTTAGCAGACTTAGTGCTCAAGAGGAAGGACTGGCTTTCAGAAAATAACTTCTGAGCCTTGAAATATCCTGCCTGAAACCAGTGTGCTTGATCCCTGACACCCTGGATTATGACAAATAGTGTAGGTTAATGATGTGATTTACAGGGAAAGCCTGGTTTTTAAACCTGGGGCTTTGGACTGTGCTGTATCAGTGTACACACTGCAGGATTTGAAGCCGCATTAGCTAAAACCTATGCCTAGTGAATGACCGGAGTAAAAACCCTGGACACCAGGGCATGAGTGAGCTTCCTGATTGTCAACACCTCATTCACATCATCCTACACCACGTCTGAGAGGATTAAGTGCTGTGTGCACATCTCCACGAGGGAGACAGCTGAAGCCTGTGCCTGGCTCCTCCATGGCTGGCCCCTGTGGCTTTCTTTCCGCCACTTTCCATCTATAACAACAGTACGGGGACTGTGGGGTGGGGGGAGGAGGTAGAAGTGGAAGAAGGTGTAAGGGGAATAAATGCTAATGGGAAAAAATCAATAAAAAATAAACTATTAAAAATAAAAATAAATAACTTTTCACTGCAATAAACCCCAACCATGAATGTTTTGACTCTTAGTCAATCACCAAAACTGAGGGGAATGTTGGAGCCCTGGGTACAATACCTAAAATCTATCAAAGGCTTTAACTTTCTTTAACTTTTAAATAACCCGTTGTTTCCATAACATAAAAGAGATATTCTTCTCTTGGAAGTATATCACCAATTCAATTATATTTCATCTTGTAATTGATATATGAATTGTGGTTAGCTGTTAAGTAATTTCAATCATCTCTTTTTATATTACAATATATTTGAATCAATTAATAAAATATGATAATCTAGCTGGTGAACGTTATTTAGAGAATTCATTTCCTTTTCAACCTTCTTGCTTTCAGCTTTGCTGCTTTATTCTTTCTCCAGCTTTATGGAGGTATAATTGACAAAGTGATGATTTCATATATATGCACATTGTGAAATGATTTCAATTAAATAATGAATAATTAATAGAGTTAATACACAGATCACCTCATATAATTGCCTTTTAGTGTGTGTCATGAGAATGCTTAAGATCTGCTCTTTTAGAAAATTTTGAATACACAATAGGGTATTATTAAGTATGGTTACTATGTTGTACATTAAATCTCCAAAACTTATTCATCTTATGGCTGAAGACTTGTACCCTTTGATGTGCATTTCCCTACTTCCCCCAAACCCCATCTGCTGGTAACTATCATTCTACTCTCTGTTTTTATGAGTTCCATGTATTATTAATTCTTATTTTTTAATTCTTCTTATATAATTTCTGAAAGTATGACACAAGATTTTAAATTAGTACTAGTCTAAAGTTAGTTTGAATAACTTCTCATTGGCAATTTATAAAATGGATAAATGAGAGAATTCTCCACTTGGAAGCTTTATTATTTGAAGTTGCAGCCTCTAACTTTTCCAATGATTGGCCAGTGTTACACAGAGAAGTTGTGACAAGGTCAGGGCTAGAAGCTGAATGTTATAATTACAGGCATAAAGCTCTTTCTGCTATAATAAACTACTCTGTTATTGCTGAAGCTATAGCTGAAATCATAGGCTAAAATAAAGTTTAATCACATTATGGAAATTAGATGATTTACCTGCAAGTAAAAGGGACTCTAATTCAAGCCCTATTTAAAAGTCGGTCATAAGTAATTTCAAGTAATTAGATCCAAGGGTTGGGCGGGCACCTGGGTTGGGGGTCTGGGGAGGTTCGATCAGTTCAACAACTGATCAAGGGCCAGGTTTCTTCTATCCCTCAGCTCTGCTACCTCCAGAGTCACTGATTATTAAGCAACACTTCACTCCCACCCTTTGGCTCTGAATATAGCTACAGCAATTTCATGTATAAATTCCAGATATTAGAAGGTAACTTTCTTTTCCTTACATCCTATTTGTTTTCCTGAGAAATATCTCCACTCTAATCTCAGAAACCAGCAAAGGGTCCCATCCCCATCCCCTACAGGAATCCTCGAAAGTAGATGGGATTAGCACGACTGGCTTTTACAAAGCATCTGGTATGAATTAGGACAAAGCAGCAGGGTCACTACACATATTGAAAGAGTGGATGACTGATGGGCCATCTCTGTTTCTAAACACAGCTATCCAAACATTAGTTATAATTCTTCATTTAGGTGTCTGCCTTCCTTGTGGGAAAGACACAGTTTGCCACAAATGATACTTTCATTGTAAAAACAAACACTGACAGTACACTATGGTCAAATATGTCCATGAAAACAAATCTATTTTTTAAAGCATTTTTTTCTAACTTCAACTAGTGTCGTTGTTTTGTGAAAACAGGCCATGTTGCTAAAGAATAACCTATAAGCCTATACTAGTATTGCAGCATTACCCTGTGTCGTCTGCCATTTATTTTCTGAAGCCAGTCTGTGAATCCACCTTGAGTAGATGTTTTTCCTGTCAGGCTTTCTGAAAATGAGGAGCCCAAGGGGATCTCATTGATTTGCCAATTGTGTCAGTCCATTTAAGGCAGAATGGCACATGCTTATGACAAAGGCAGTGACAAATGGGTATGTACTGAAGGAACAGCACCAACACAGAGAAATGAAGAAAATGATGAAAGTATACAGCATGGGATGGAAATCAAAATAAAATTCAAGATTATATATTATATGTGTGTACATGATACTTTAAGTTAGGTAAAAGTATGAAAACAGCACTTTTCAGAATAATTTCTGAAATTTAACACAAATTCAACATTGCCAAAAGTTGTGAAATCAGAGTGAACAATTTGTTTTATAATTTTACATCAACCTGCATATAGGGGTGAAAAGAACATTTTCTACTATTAAGTAAAAAAAAAAAAAAATTGGCTGAGCTTCTCTTTTCTAATCTCAGTAAGTATTTATATGTATTTATAAATACCAACATGCCACGTAGGCCAAAGTTACCTATATTTGTAGCGGTTAATTTATGCTAGCATACATTAAGACATATCAATAATATTCATAGAGACTAACAGGATGCAGATCTTTGCAGGTAGCATTGAGCTCACAGGCATTCAGGATGCAGTTGTCAGTGTCCTGTTCCCTTCCCAGGCCCGTGGAGCTCAGGCGGCATAAGCAGGAGAAGCCAGCAACTACTGAAAACAATAGAAGAGAAAACTCTTAACATTTCTTTAACAGTGGTATGATTAATACTAATTACACTGAAGAATATCATGCTTATCTAAATGTATTTTACTTTTAACCAAATATTGTGAATTCTTATATATAAGATGCTATTACATAGTTATCTATAATATTTTCTAAATAACACTGTTTTATTTATTTATTTATTTGCAGTGTGTCAACTATTTTTGTTTATTTTCTAAATCCCTTTATTGTTATTCTATCACAGCCATCCTAATTTTTCCCCCTTTGCGCTCCTCCGCCCATCTCACCCCCACAGTCAATCCCCCCTGCTGTCCATGTTTAGGGGTCATTCATTCATACATGGTCTTTTTCTAGTTCCTCCCCCTTCTTCCCACCATTATCCTCCTCCTCCCTCCCCTCTGGTCACTTTCAGTATAAAAATATTCATAATGAACATTTGTTTAACAATTTGCAAAGTAACAATGAAAATATCCAGTTTTCTTTCCCTTTCTTTCTCTCTCTCTTTTTTTTTTTTTTTTTTTTTTTTGGTCATTTAACAATGCCTATGATCAATAGGTTACTTTTGTATTACTTAATTTTTCCCAGATGGTTTTAGGTTTAAAAAGCAACATGTTAACTGGTTGTTAAAGCTCCTAGTGTGACAAGGTACATACTTTAAAGTGTACAGAGATCTGAAAGTTGATATTGAACCACTAAAACCTTTGTTCAAAGAGCTTTTACATTTCATCATAATCTTTTAAAAGTAATGATCAGAATATGTCTTCTATTTTATCATTAATGGAATGGAAAACGTAGAGGCTCTGAAGCATCTCAAGGAAATGGCGAAAGCATGGACTGCCCTTGGAACAGGCAAGGATTTATAGCTGCTTCTAGTCAGTCCCTGGGTTCTTCTTGTCCCTGAGATTTACCATCTGATCTACACTGCCACCCTGAATCTGTCCAAGTACTAGTTATTACTCTCATTAAATGCTTAGATCCTGGAAGGAAAGAGCATTTTCAATGTAATATGCGGTACTTAGCTGCCTTCTAGATTTCTGCAGCCATGCTTCTGTATAGCGCAGGTAACTGGGGTCTCTAAGGAGAATGAGCCAGCCCGCAATCCTCAAACAGAGACAAGGGAGATAAGAATTGACAGCTCTTTAAACAGGATTTTATTTCTATTTTACTTTTTCCATCTAACATCCTCATTTTTTACATTTCAAATGATTAATTGATATGCAGGTATAGTTGTATATAAATTAATGAGAAAATTTTATCAGTTGGTGCATCTTTATGTTATTAATGGAATTATGTATATCAAAAAATTAAGACCAAATGTTATACAATATGTGATAAAAATATGGAATCACATCAACCATAATGATTTTTTAAAAGGTTTATGACTACAATTCAAGTTTGGACATTGATGCAAATTGGCAAGTAACAAACAATGAGAGTCAAATGAACTTTCAATGTAGATATAGACATTTTCTATATAGATAAGTGATAAGTTGTCTTAAAGGAAATACGACAACGAAAAATAACTTTGAATTAACAATTGATGTGAAAGACAGAGATTGGTGTTAAAAAAAAAAGCATGTTTTTATTATCAACAAATGCACTTTCTGAATGTTAACTCTTTGGGGCTAAGAAGCTAAGAAATAAACTATATTCTGAATAAGATCCTTATAAATATCCCATGCTACTGTTTTGAATTGAAATTTTCATTAGATAAGCTATCTATATATTTGGATATATTATTTATTCTATACTTAAATATACACCAAACATCATACATTAGTTGTACTGAATCAAAATCCCTGACATGATAAAATTTTATTTTGAAAATATAGAGGTGAGTATTTTAACAATGTGGTGAATGAACACAAAGTGTCTGAGATTTACAAATTCACATATACATATTGATAATTGCTTCTTATCTATAGCCTTGTGATAAATACTTTTATCTTGAATTCAGAAAGTTTGGCTTCTCAAACTCTTTTATTTTTTAGAAAGTATTAAGTATAAAGTGCCTTAGATTTATGCTGATATCAGTTTACATGTACAATTTAAATTTTAATAAATGTTTTGGTTCTCTGGTAGGTAATTTCCTTTGGTGAGGTTCAAAATATATTATAAATATTCATATTATGAAATACAGCAATATATCAAGTATCCAAAATTTACATTTTCCATAATATATTATGTATGATCTTGAAAAATTTAATAGAGAGCTCTGCACTATAGTAGCATATTTGGAAACAGTATTCTATTATCATATAAGGAATTATGAGTTATAATGTGTATGGAGACCTGATAAAATTATACACACACACACACACACACACACACATACAGGTGTGGGGAACAGTAGGTTTATAGTTGTGGGTACAGGAAAGGCAGAGTTAGTCTTATATTATTATTTATTATTATATTATTTTCCATACAAACAACTGTAAACCTATTTTTTTATATATATACACATATGTGTGTGTGTGTGTGTATTCTCCTTCACTCAGAATGCATTAGAAGTGCTCATATATAACCACCATTGTAGGGCTACCTAGATCTAAGAAGTTGCCAACCTCCCAAGCATGCTATCTGCCTTCCTTATTTTATAGGGCCCAGAAATTCGAGAGCCATTCCAAGCATCACCAAACACATGTGGGTTTAAGCTAAAAAATAAGATAATAGTGACTTATTTCAAGGTAATTTGAGAATTTCACAAATTTAAAACCCCAACTCTTTAAAGTGCCAAATTCTAAAAAAAAAAAAAGTGGTTTAAATCAGAAGTAACAACATATAGATGGCCCACAGCCTAAAAGTATGTTTGCTTAGCTAGCGCAGTATTAGAAAAAATATGCCATATTCATATCAATGTACAAATATTAGTTTGCTGGGAGCCCGCCACTACCTATCATTTCATACCTAGGCTGCTTCATCTAATCTAAACAAATTTCCAGTATGCTCCCTAAGAACATGCATTGCAGAACACTGGTTTAAATAAAAGAATGCATAATTTCAGTTAAATGACATCCATTCCAAATAAAATGTCTACCAAAATGTGCTTTTTTCATACATTACATCATTTTAACTACTCATTTACTGAAGGATCATATAGGAATACATTTGAAAGGAAGTAAAATAAAGCAAAATAAGATGGACAGAGTATTTTACTACATCCTTCTAGCTTTCTCTCTGTGCGTTTTTTTTTTTTTTTCCTTCCTTTTTATGCCTCTTAAACCTAACCATTTCACAAGGCTATTTCATGGTCTGTTTTCCTGTGTCTCAAAAATCTATTATCAATATTCATCATTTTCTTTTTACTCCTTCTTCCTTAACTTCCTTTTATTTTTTCCTGCCTTCTTCTTTTTTTCTCTATAAATTTATATTTTTTCAGGATCATATATCCCAGTAGGAAGAAGTATGTGTGTGAGAGATAGATGAGCTAAAAAGTGAGTAACTTTAAATTATTGTAAACGATTTTTCTTATACCTACAAATAAAGGCTTTAAAAAATCTAGCATTAAAAACAAAGAAAAAATTGTTAATTCTGACATCAGAACACAGAAGTAACATTTCATTACAATTTTTCATTTGCTACTGTTATGACCACAAAATATAAACGAATTTGTCAGAAGTGGGGATGTTTCATGAAAATAATTGACACTGACTTTGATATTTAAGGTAGGGCAAATACAGCAGCAACCATGGTTGCACCCTGAGTTACTCCATCACTACATCAGATTCTAAGTTAGATGGCACCCTAAGAACTGCTGTGTCTGAGCAAACTCACTGTCGTAGCAGTATCCATTCAAGCAAGGGCTAGAAATTCACTCATCGACTTTGATCTCACAGTGTGGACCTGCAAAGCCTTTCCACACTGGCACTGGTACTCAAGGGGAAACATTTCCAGATCCAGTTTCTCTCTACATACAGCTCCATTCTCACAAGGATTACTAGCCCCACAAGGCCCGTAGTCATAGTAAGGGCCTGAAAGGAAACACTCGGAGTCAGTGCTTATACAATGAACCCAATCCGGCAAACTAAGTTGTCAGTTACCCAGCCTATTTCTGCATAAATGCATTCAATTCAGTCTCTAGGCAAAGACTACAATTCTCTTTCATATTACCATTGTGCTTCTCTCTACATTACAATTTAAGAAAGAAATGTTATTTTTGATTTCCATGCTTCATCTAACAAAGAACCAGCAGGCAGCAATGTTAAATGACAGTATTTTTTAAAATACATTTTGTTTCTTTATACTTTCAATTCTTGTTCAACAATATCCTCTGAAGACATTGCAATTAAGAAAGAACATTATTAATGATTTGATGTTCCCTGTGTTTTCTTTCCAGTACCCTAGAAGTTACTATCACTATGAGTTTAGCTTGATGGATTTGCTGCTATTCTCAAAACAGGTAAACAATGAAAATAGAAAATTTTAATAAGCTTCTAATCTTAAGAGTAACACTTCACATCTGAAACTAAGTTTTAATTTTTACTTATAAAATGTAACTAGGAAAAGAAATCAACAGAGACAAGAGGGAAGGGGCGGGCAGGGAAAGGGAAGGGAAGGGGAAAGTCAAGGAACATATAGCAAGGACTCATGGACAAAACCAAAGGGGAAGAGCTGATGGAGGGAAGGTGGGAGGGGGCAAGGGAAAGAGGTGGGGGGAAGGCAGAGACAAATGTATTTAAAAAGTAAATAAATTAATTAAAAAAATAAAAAAAAATAAAATGTAACTAGGTAAAATGATTGTCTCTGAGTGAAATGTACACACATATTTGGATACAAAAAAAAAAAAAAAAAACATAAGACAACCCAAGGGAATCTATAGTAAAAAAGTAAAGTGTAAACATGAAATTGTTCATCAAAACAGTCATTGTTCAGGTGTCAGTTCTCCAGGCATAGTAAAAGGTTTGGATAGTAATTGTTTGGAAAGTATTTACATTATAGCATTCATTCACCAAAATGTATAGAATATATGCATAAACATAGGTTCTAA